TCTATCTATCTATCTATCTATCTATCTATCTATCTATCCCCACACCCCCCATCTATCTATCTATCTATCTATCTATCTATCTATCTATCTATCTATCTATCTATCTATCTATCCCCACACCCCCCATCTATCTATCTATCTATCTATCTATCTATCTATCTATCTATCTATCCCCACACCCCCCTACCTGTACTTCTCGCAGATGCCAGACCTGAAATCACAGCAATTCTTTCTCTATGATATTACAATGAGTTGCTTTGGAAATAAAGAACAAGGCGAGAGCAAAAAAACCCCCAGAAAATAAATATACTGTGTAAGCAAAAATGTTTCCAATTATTTCTTTCTCCCCAAACTTTTCCTCTGTCTCTGTTCCAGCTGTCACCTGAACTAATTTGGAGAAGAAGTAACAAATGCCAGGCTTGTTTAAATATGACTGAGTGTTTCATAGAGACGAAAAGGAAACAAAACTGATTTCACCATCCCATTTGCTAGCTTTCTCACAAAAGACTTCAATACACCAGGCCAAAACTGACTTCTACATCCCCACCCACCCCCTCTATCTATCTATCTATCTATCTATCTATCTATCTATCTATCTATCTATCTATCTATCTATCTATCTATCCCCACACACCCCCTCTATCTATCTATCTATCTATCTATCTATCTATCTATCTATCCCCACACACCCCCTCTATCTATCTATCTATCTATCTATCTATCTATCTATCTATCTATCTATCTATCGTTATATAAAAATAAATATATAATATGTGGCACTTTGCACTCTATCCACAGCTATTTTGGCTCTTAGTCTCTGTTATGATCATGAGAGGTGGCCGGCAGCCTGAAGACTAAGGCTATGTCTAGACTGCAGGCTTCTTTCGAAAGAGGCTCTTTCGAAAGCATCTTTCGAAAGAGCCTCTTTCGAAAGATCGCGTCTAGACTGCAGGCGGATCTTTCGAAAGAGAAATCCGCTTTTTCGAAAGAGAGCACCCAGCGAGTCTGGATGCTCTCTTTCAAAGACGGCCTCTTTACATTGAAGAACACCTTCTTTTGAAAGAGGAACTTTCGAAAGAAGGCGTTCTTCCTCGTGAAATGAGGTTTACCGCCATCGAAAGAAAAGCCGCATTCTTTCGAAATAATTTCGAAAGAACGAGGCTTGAGTCTGGATGCAGGGGAAGTTTTTTCGGGAAAAGGCTACTTTTCCTGAAAAAACCCCTGAGTCTGGACACAGCCTAAGAGGTTAATTACACCTAGCCAGGTGGAGTGGCCAATGGGAATGTAGGTAGGAATTTTAAACTGGGACAAAGGAATTTTTGGTTTTTCCCTTTTTTCTGTGAGTTCCTCTTCAGTTATTGAGAGAGACAGACATGTGTCTCTCTCCAAGAAACCACTCTTCACTTTCTGTAAGTAGGGTAAAGTTTAGATAAATCCATTAGGTTTTATTGTTTTATGGTTTGGGAAATGGAATCTGATGTCGGTTCACATTTAAAAATTGTTTTGGCTTTTCTTTGTAACTAAGTTTTAGGCCCATGGCAGAGTTTCACCAGGAGTATAATATTTTGTTACTTGTCCATCTAGTCATTATGCTTGCAACAGGAATATTGTGGTGATAATAAAAGTTATTTCTCTCTTATTTTTATTAACCTGGTATTGGTTAATTTTTGTGTCCTGGTTTGTACTTTAGGGGTGAGATTTCCCAAGTAGTCTCTCCCTGATTTCTTTAGCATAATTGGATGGTGGCAGCGGAGATTTTATTCCCAAAATCTATGGTTGTTAAGACACATAAGGTTTTGGGGTACTTTTTCTGGCCCCCACTTCTGGATTTATTGTGCCCAAGTGGAGAAGGAGCCATGACAGTCTCTAACTGGCTGGCCACCCCTGCTGTAGGGTGTCAGATTAATGGGCCAAACAATGCTGGGCAAAATCACATCATACTCAGCTCTTGTACTCCAAAGTAGCCCACAGCGTTTTACAAACAGTTGCAGCATGTTTTGCTACTAAGCTGTTCAGGTCTGGACCAAAATCTCCTGGTTACTTGAATGTTCCCTGAACAATTGCAATTCTGAGGGGGGGATTAGGAAGCATTTTCCAACCAACTTGAGCTCAGTGACATTGGATGTATTTAAAGGGGGAGTTTTCTCTGTTGGTTGCTATGAGCCTCTCCCACTCCCCCCACTCTTGAGTCCTCAGGAAGTGACCAGCCCCAGTGACATGAAAACTGTTTTCCTTTCTCAATCTCCTTCAAAGCTCTGATGCCCCCCAAATCCCTGCCCGCCCAGGGACCCCACCATTTGGGAATCATGAACCTCAGGGTGACAGGCATAGCTTCCCCAAGGCCCTGTGAAGCTGGCTTTACCTCTTTCTGCACCAGCAGGGCTCTTTCCACCTCTGCCAGCTCCCTCCTCTTCTCCAGCAGGCGGGTGGCAGGAGTCAGGCAGTCATCCTCTCGTTCAGGCATTCTCCTGCAGGAGAAGAACAGCAGTGAGTGTGGCAGCACCGCTCAGCTAACTCCTCTTCAGAGCCAGGCTGGGTATGGAGCCATTGAGGTACAAGAGCACCACACTAATTCTTAGCACAAGTGCCACGTGTTTACTTGGCCCCCCGACATAGGCTTGGCCAGTGCAGCTCCACAAGCCAGCACTTCTCCTCAGTGACCACCACCCTGCACTGAGAATGTAACACCTTCATGTCAAGGGATGCACAGTCAGCAGGCAACCTAGCTAATGTCAAGGCTGGAGGTGGGGGACTGTAGAGCCATGAGCAGTGTCCCTGTGAGATGGGTGCTGGGGCAGCCACTCAGACGAGATTCAGATGCCACCTAGTTGATGAGCAGAGCGCCCACACTTAGGTTTGTGTTTCTACTGCTGGTGACATTCACACATGCCTTGGTGCGCATACAAATATTTATTCTGAGGGCTCGACGATTAATGTAATCTACTCACCCGTGGCGAGTATATTTTAGCCCAGCATGGTTTGCGCATGCGCAGCGTGCGGTTCCACACGGCTGGCGAGCGGGGCTCACTGCCACTGGGCGAGCCCTAGTTATTCTACACATGAATAGAAAAAATCTGCATGTGGATGGAAAAGATTAGAGGGGACATTGGCCATGCATACTAGCTTTTCCCCCAGTTCCACTCCGATATATCCCAGAGGACAAGCTGAAAGTGCTTTTCCTTCTAGAGCTTGCCTGGTGCCCAGGGATTATGGTTTTCCAATCAAAGGTTTCCAGTTTGTTTTAACTTAGTTTTTCCTCCTGTTATTGTCAGAGAAATGACAGAGAAACAGACTCCTCAACTGAATATGCAGGCCAATAGATAGCAAGTAACAAACTGAAACCAAAAAGGTGAGTTATTTTCTCAAATCTCATCCAATTTGTCACCAGGTGACTGGTCCTTTAAGAAGGAACAGCTCCAGTTCAGCTCCAGCAAGGGCCTGAGAGTTGCCTTTCCCATGTCAGACTTGACAACTTTGAACTGAATCATTCAAATAGCGATGATCCCAATGATACATGCATTCAATAACCAGCATATGAAGGGAGTGTATAAATACGCTGAAAGTAGTCGCCCTAGCAACAAACTGCAGGAGCACCCCTCCAAACACATGCGCTACCTCTTTAAAAGCACCCCGAGGAAAAAACAAAGATCAGTGCCACTGTGATCTGACTTTAGTGAGAGTAAGAATATACATTACAATTTTAAACCTAACCACTGTCCTTATCTTGCCACAAGATGTCAGTCTGTTATATTTGAGCTGAGCGAGTCTAATATTTATTTAATGTTTATTTCATTTTCTTTTGTCTATAAGGTGTAGATACAATGCTCTTGTCAGTTAATTTCTAAGTTATTGTCTGAATAAAGGCATTTTCAGTTGCTTAAGTGGTCCCTGGAATCATGGTTAAATAAAATCCTCCCCCCCCCAAAAAAAATAGCGGCCCCCTTGCACAGTTCTGTTGACTTGGCTGGAGCCACCCCCCAAATATAGACGTCAATACAATCCTTGTGATGGGGCTGAGCAGGGGCTTGGGAGTGGGGAGGAGGCTGGCAGCAGGTAGTGCCTGAAACGGGTTTGGCTTGTTTGGGCTTGATGTGAGGAGGTGGTGGAGCTTGTTTATCTTGTCAGACTTGGCAAGGCCTGGGCCTGGCTCTACCAACCCTGAAGTAACCAGGAGCGCAGGGTGCCGGGGGGAGAGGCTCTTACTCACGGCAGCAGCAGCTTATTCCGGAAAACTGCCCGCAGATATTCTTCCAGTTGGAAAGCCATCGTGGCCCAGCCCCCAGCAGGGCCCTGTGGCTCGGGGAACGGGCCCTGCTACCATCCCAGTGCCTGCAAAGAGTCAAGGCAGGGAGTAGCGCCCGACCATTGCCAAGGAGACGGACAGCACAACGTTCGGTTGCCATGGTCACGTTTGGCATCCAGAGTCCTTTAAAGTTTCCCTTCCGCACGCCACTGCAGGAGGAGAGCCTAGAGACCAATCTAGTGCAGGGAAGGTGGAGCCAGAAGCCCACCCCAGACATGCGGATTTATTTTCAGCAGGGGGCAGCCTGGGAAAGCCTGGCCACCTGCAAACTAGTCTGGTCCCTGCCTGGCCCGGTGTGTGTTTCCCGCTCCTCTCTTCCGTCTGCTTTGCATGGCTGTTAGGGCACCTGGTTTAACTAGGGCTGCAGCTGCGGGACCCTCTGAGTGGTCCTCTGTGACATGACCCCCTCCTTCCCAGCATGCATAGCTCCGGTTGGCCCCATTGGTCAGGCAGCTGTGAGGGATATGGGAGTTAGAGGGGCTCCGGCAAGGTACAGTCACTGGGGTTCTTTAATCAGGGTTTGCATGGCAGCCAAGATTCATAGGAACTTCTGTGGGGCTGATACGTCCCTGGTGGAGTTGGGTTTCTGACCATTGGTTCAATTTGCCATCGTGGCCCGTCCCCCCTGTATTCATTTTAGGCCCACAGGAACTGAGGGAGCCTGTCTATTGACTCCAATAGACTCTGGATCAGCCATTAAGACAGTACTTGTAGAAGCTGCCTATTTCCCCAGCTTCTGTTCCCAGCACACACTGTATACAAAGTCCCCCCAGCTTCGCAGGCCTGCTGTGGAGCAGGAAGAATTCAAGAGCTAAAAATCACATTGAGACTCAGAGCCGATTCTCTCTCCTGGCTCCAGGGCAGCTCTTCCCCACTTCCCGCAGGGGATGCTGGCTCTGAATCAGGCCAGCTGAGCCCATGCACAGCAGATGGCAGTGAGGGGAGGTGAAGGTAGCAGAGGCACTATTCTCACTATTCTCACAGGTTTCTTCTGCGCATCAGGTGCAGAGGCAGTGAGAGCAGCAGAAACACTGGGCTGGTGCACACCAAGGGTAGCAACCTTCTCACGCCCTCATACATGCATCCCTGGACTTCTTCCATCACCCTCACCACCAGTCTTGGCTGCTCTAGAGCCAAACAGATTGAGTCTGGCTCCACACTCCAGCTCTACCCATCAGGCCACCCCAGCTTTTGATGCCCCCAGGACCACTAACAGGGAGCAACATTCTTTAGTAAACACACCTGTTCTGGCCTCAGCAATTCCTGGATAAGGCAGAGGATGCCTAGTGTCAAGGGGGATCCAGTAGATCTAGTATACTTAGATTTTCAGAAAGCCTTTGACAAGGTCCCCCACCAAAGGCTCTTGTGTCAATTCCATGGCCATGGGATAAGAGGGAAGATCCTTTCATGGATTGAGAACTGGTTAAAAGACAGGAAACAAAGGGTAGGAATAAATGGTAAATTGTCAGAATGGAGAGGGGTAACTAGTGGTGTTCCCCAAGGGTCAGTCCTAGGACCAATCCTATTCAATTTATTCATAAATGATCTAGAAAAAGGGGCAAGCAGTGAGGTAGTAAAGTTCGTGGATGATACCAAACTGTTTAAGACAGTCACAACAGAAGCAGACTGTGAAAAACTTCAAAAAGATCTCACAAAACTGTGTGATTGGGCCACAAAATGGCAAATGAAGATTAATGTGGATAAGTGTAAAGTAATGCACATCAGGAAAAATAACCCCAACTATACGTACAGTATGATGGGGGCTAATTTGGCTATGACAAATCAGGAAAGAGATCTTGGAGTTATCGTGGTTAGTTCTCTGAAAACGTCCACACAGAGTGCAGCGGTGATCAAAAAGGCAAATAGGATGCTAGGAATTAAGAAAGGGATAGAAAATAAGACCCAGAATATCTTATAATCCTGTATAAAACTATGGTACGCCCACATCTTGAATACTGTGTACAGATGTGGTCTCCTCACCTCAGAAAAGATATTTTGGCCTTGGAAAGGGTTCAGAAAAGGGCAACTAAAATGATTGGGGTTTGGAACAGGTCCCCTATGAGGAGAAGCTAAAGCAACTGGGACTTTTTAGTTTGGAAAAGAGGAGACTGAGGGGGGATATGACAGAGGTCTATAAAATCATGAGTGGTGTGGAGAGGGTGAATAAAGAAAAGTTATTCATTAGTTCCCATAATATAAGGACTAGAGGACACCAAATGAAATTAATGGGTGGCAGGTTTAAAACTAATAAGCAAAAGTTCTTCACACAGCGCGTAGTCAGCCTGTGGAACTCCTCGCCAGAGGAGACTGTGAAGGCTAGGACTGTACCAGAGTTTAAAGAGATAAATTCCTGGAGGTTAGGTCCATAAAAGGCTGTTAGCCAGGGGATAGAAATGGTGTCCCTGGCCTCTGTTCGTCAGAGGCTGGAGATGGATGGCACAAGACAAGTCACTTGATCATTGTCTTCGTTCCACCCCCTCCGGGGCACCTAGCACTGGCCACTGTCGGCAGACAGGATACTGGGCTAGATGGACCTTTGGTCTGACCCAGCATGGCCGTTCTCATGTTCTTATGTCTCTGAGAGCAGGAGCTGGCCCCTTTTTCTTGCAAAGCGGATAGTTTGCAAGTAAGATCTGAGCTGGGGACCTGAATTCTGTTCCCAACTTTCCCAAGTCATGGCCTTGTGCTGTGCCTCAGTTTCCCCATCTATCCAGTGGGGATGCTGATGCTGCACAGAGGGACTGAGAGGTTTCTTAGTGTTAAGGAAGTGGCTTGAGGTCCCTTGAAGGGAGGTGAGATGAGGAGGACGTCGTGGTACCCAGGAAAGGGATGGAAAGAACTAGACTGTTCTGCTTTGCAAGGCTGCTGTGACAGGTAGGGTTTATTCAGAACAGCCCCTGCTTGTCTCAGACTTTCTGCTGTGCTGGAGTGACGGCCAGTGACGGCCCATGCCCACTGCAGGCCCGGCAGCAGGCAGAGCACGACGCCCAAGGCTGCTGTGACAGGTAGGGTTTATTCAGAACAGCCCCTGCTTGTCTCAGACTTTCTGCTGTGCTGGAGTGACGGCCAGTGACGGCCCATGCCCACTGCAGGCCCGGCAGCAGGCAGAGCACGACGCCCCTCTGCCTTAGCGCTGGCGATTCCCCCGCCTCTGCCTCCCAGCG